CCCGGGCCAGGGCCGGGGACGCGCGCACGAGAACAGAGAAAGAGGGAGACAGGCGCATACGCGGAGTCAGAGAGAAAGGGGGACCGAGACAGCGGGAAGAAAAAAAGAGAGGGGCCATAGAGCAAAGGAGATGGCTGAGTGGGGGGGGGTCTTGTAAAAGTGCCAGCTCCCCTGAAACAGCCTTCAGCCGCATATTCCCGCGGCCTCGCCGCCCGGAAAAGCGGTGGCTGAGTAGCAAAAAGCAGGAATCTGCATCTTCTACCCACTTTTTGCACAATTCCAAAGCCGGCGTGGAACCTGCGTGCCCAGGAAAACATAATACCGCTCCCCACCCACCGGGTGCCCTGGAGCCGAGTCCTGTATGCTGCTTCCTACTGGAAGTTGACCCCACTCGATAAATAGACGCTGCTCCGTTTTGGTGGACCTGGCCTGGACCTGGTTTAATCTTTATTTGGGGGGTGGGGAGAGATGAAATATGGACGTTCTAGAGAGCGACATCTGTGGCAGTGCCTCCAACAAATCTTTAATCGGCCGCCAGGACCAGCCTACCGTCACTTCACCATTTATCACCCTGAGGACTCTGGCTCTGCACAGGGAGACACACGCCCCGTGATCCTCTAACAAGGAATTTCGTTGGAGCGAACAGGGGACTCCCTATCTACCCCGCACTTCCCTCCCTAGCTAGCTCAGACTCTTTAAAATCAAAATAATGGTGACTTCCCTCCCACCGCGGCCCCCTCTGCAGTATTGGGTTTGTTGTGGTTTTGGTTTTCCCCCCACTTGTGCATTAGACTACGGGGAAAAGGAGCAAGAAAACAAAAAGTCCGAATCCGATTCCGTCGCAAACGAAAGAAAGAAAATAACTGAAATAAACTCTAGTTCGGAAGCCCGGAGAGTCATAAACCTTTCCGGGCCGTGCAAACTTTGGGCAGATGTTCACGGTTCAATTTGCCGGGCCTCAGAACCTCCGCAGCTGTCCTGAGCGAGGACGGACGAGGGAGGGGGGCAGAGTTTCTCCCGGAACGGTCCAGGGTTCAAACATGCCGGAAAATCGAAGCGAGCCCCGCACCCCAACCCGGCGCGAGGCCAGGCTTGCTCGGGTCTCATCCCCGGGCGCCGGGAACTCGGAGGAAGGAGACCGGGAAAACCGAGACCTGGAGAAGGGCCGGGCACGGGTATGCACAGCCCTTGCTCAGAAAAGGCTCCGGAGCCCGAGTTCCCCCAAGTCTGCCGCTCTCGGGACATTTCACAGGACCAGGACGCAAGCCAGACCGAGCTCGGCGCCCCAGCCACTGTCAGGCCTTCTGCTGGGACCCCCGCCGCCCTGCCTCGATCTTCCGCCGCGCCAACCCGCAGCCTGTTTGGTGTCGACAGCTCTTGCTTTCTCTATACCTGCGATTTCTGCCTAGCAAGGGCGGGGGGAGCGGGTACCAAAAAGCCGCACCTAAAAATTTCTCAGCGACGAGGCCCTGCACCTGGAGCAGCAAGGGACTAAAACACCCTCTCCTCCCGCTCCAGTCGAGGGCTCACGGGCTGGGTCCCAGAAGGGATCCTAGTATCCCTCCTGCCATGTCGTCGGGTGCTCGGGGCTGGGGAAGTTAAGGGTCAGAGCACTGTACCCCCTATACACCCAGCACACCGAGATTCACTCCAGCTCTCGGCAGTCCACGTCGCGCATTTTCCCCCAACCCGACGGGGGCGCTCGGTACGCCTCGCACTCACCAGCGTTGTAGGCCGCCAGATCCGCGCCCGGGCCGGGGCTCTTGCGCTTCCTCGGCCGCCCCTTCTGCACAGTGCCCACGCCATTGTAGTAGGGAAGACCCAGAGGGTTGGCGCCCGCTCCGCCCAGCCCCGCGCTCTTGGCCGCAGCGGCTGCAGCGGCCGCCGCCGCCACGTCGGCGTGGTTGAAATGCGCGGGGTACTCGCCCTGCAGCAGCGCCTCGAAGTGCAAGCGGCAGTAGACCAGGCTGTCCTTCATGCCGAAGTGGTCGCCCGTAGTCAGCATCTTGTTACACGTGGTGCACGTGAAGCAGTTGAGGTGATAAACCAAGTCCCGAGCACGCATCACCATCTCTGAGGCCGAGATGCCCAGGTGGCAGCGGGCGCAACGCTGCACAGAGAACCTCCTGTAGGGACCATGGAGGGAGGGGCTGTGGGAACACACTGTTGGGTACCCCCGATATCCCTCCTCCAGGTGCCGCTGCTGCTGGGGAAAATCTCAAGATGGACAACCCGGCCTTCATATGGAGGATGGGGGTAAAGGGAACTAGATTTTGACCCCAGGCCTGGTATTGAATAGTTTCCTTTAACCATTTTCATGTCTACGAAGGCGTCTAGTTTACTCAGATTTTAGCAAGCCCTAGGAAGAAAGCCTTTACTTGGGAGTAGAGGAGAAACTTCCCACTTTACCCCTTCCTCAGCCTTTACCCCCTGCCCTCCAAACCAGCACCTGGGAATCCCACAGACCTTTGTAATTTGAAAGAAACAGCAACAAGTAATGAGAGAGAGAGAGACAGAGACAGAGTCACACACGAGGAGAGAAAGAATATAAACAGGGAGCCTGGAGCCTGTCAGTGATTCTGTCCTTTAATCCTGGCCAGCTTTCACTCTGGTCTCCCCAAAAGAACTAGTAATGCACCCACTTCCCCAGCTCTCCCTCTAATTTTGTTCCACACCAGCCCAGGCTGCCTGAGATTGGGGGTGCCTATTTCTATCCCCTCTGGTTGGCCCAAGAAACTTCAAAGGCAGCGAGGTACAAATATCCAACCCGAGTTTATTTATGCTCTAAGCTAAGAGGGGAAGGCAGCTTCTGCTTTTCTCTGGTCTTCACTCTTTGCAGACCTTCCCAAGAGCTCCCCAAATTGTTGATTTAAAAGGTTGTCAGTCTATTCGTGCTAGCTTGGAGAAAGGGGTCCTGAGTAGGAAAACCTCTCCTGAGACTGGAGGGAAAGGAGAGGGGCAAGATTGTGCCTGAGATTGGGGGGGGGTCCTGAGAAACAGTGGGGGGGCTACCTGTAGTAGTCTTCCTTGCAGTAGATGCTGCCATCCTTGCTGAAACAGGTGAGCTCCGACTCCAGGTTGAGCTTGCACTCGCAGCACTTGAGGCAGCGCATGTGCCACTGCTTGTCCACCGCCAGCAGGTAGTAGCGGTCGGAGATCTTGCCCCCGCAGCCGGCGCACAGCGCCGCGCGGTCACTGCTGATGGACGGCATAGTCTGCGAAGGGAGGGAGGCGGGAGACGGCAGCGCCTGCGTCAGCCTAAGGCCCCCGTCGGCGAGAAACGGGTACCCGAAGCACCCTCCGTGGTCCCGGCTAGCCCAGAAGCGGGTGGGGTGGGGTAGGGGGCGTTCCAGGGTGTAGCGCTTCCCTCACCCCAAAAGGCCCATATCCTGGCGGCTCAGAACACAGGCCCGCCGTCGCAGCCACCGGCCCAGGCCCGGGTCTTGGCCTAGATGGCTCTCCCGCCTTACTTCTTCCCCTTACTGTCCCTCCTGCCCTTTCCCCAGAAATGCTCAGGCTGTGTATAGGGGCTGGGCCCGCCGTGGCTACTCGAGTCAAGCCCTCCAAGTCTCCAAAATGTTTCTTAAAGGAACCACCCAGCTGGGCCCAGAAAAAAGAGTAAGGGGACCATTAAAAGTCACCCTCCACACAGACTCCTCTTCGGAAAGGCAGCAGAATTTCTGGCCCCCAGCCCCAGCGATCTCTGGATCCTTAGGCCGAAGGTTTAGGCCAGGACAGATCGGGCAACTTCTGGCTCCTCTGCCACACCGGCTGGGGCCCTCTTGGATCTTGGGAAATGGTGAGTGGGGTGCAGAGGCACCCTCAAAGTCTCTGAGTGCAGGACAGGCCCAACCCAAATCCTCCCCTAACCAAACTGACAGCTGCGAAGGCTTAATCGGGGAAGACGGGCTCGGAGGCCGAGAGGCCACTGGGGCTGCCGCTCTCGCTCTCGGAGCAGAGAAGCTTCGCCTGCGTTCTCCGCCTCCTCGGCCTCTAAAGGTCACTTCTGGGCCCGCTGCTTGGGCAGCGTGTGTTTGTCTGGTCCCCCGGGAGGGTCTGAGGCGAGGAACTGGCTATTTGGGGCCGGGCCGGCGGAGCCAGGTGTAGAAACCGAATGAAGTCTCCTTCCGCGAGAGCCAGGCCGGAGCCTGAACTCTGAGCCCTGGCCTGGCCAAGTCCGGCCGGCCACGGGGCCGGGGACACGATTAACGAAAAGTGCTGGCCCTGAAGACTTTGGCCCCAGAAACCGCGCTTGAAAGGGAGCCCTGATTACTGGGAGACTGGGAGCGGCCCAAGCCGGCTGGAGCCCCAGTACTCCCGGCTGGTTCGCCCTTCCCAGGCGCGGGTCGGTCTACCCGGAGCGACAGGCGAGGTGAGAAGGGAGCCTCCCCGTGCCGTGCGTGGGACTTTGCTTCCACTTTGGGAGAAACGCTCTCCCCCACCTCCGGGGTCCGAGATTCCAGTTTCAGCCTTGCTTCCTTCCTCCCCCAGCAGCCGAGTTTCCCCCGACCCGGGAGCTACAGGCCTTGCATCCCCAGCGCCCGGTCCCGTGCGGCACGAAGGACGCTCCCCAAACTTCGGGGAGCAGAGGCTCTGACCGGCCCAGCCCCGTCCCAGCTCTCAGCCCAGACCCCACAGCCGCGCGCCTACCGTCTCCGTGTCGCCGCGGTCGATGGCGGAGCTGATGGCGGGAGCCTCGCTCTTGGCCCTGCGGTCCATCTCGTCGATGACCCCGTGCACCTCGGGGCCCGACAGACTGTGGAACAGCATCGCGGCGGGACCGGCGGGGCCGGGGACGCGGCTCCT